AACCTGTGCTGGCATAGAATAAAAGTTCTCACCAAATTTAAGCTGTCCACATACAGGAACATTGTGAGATGTGGATACGAGGAAGCAGGATGTCCTTATAAGGAAGAAGTGAAACAATGTAAGATATAGGTCATACTCAATAATGATGCATAAATTCCTTACACTTCCCTCCTGAGATAAGAATGTGCAAGAACTAATCAAAACTAAATGGAGCCCTAGACGGTCTGGCTCAGTGGATAGAGCAGTGACCTGTGAACTAAAGGGTCCCCGGTTCGATTACGGTCAAGGGCACATGCCCAGGTTGTGGGCTCGATCCCCACTGAGGGGTGTGCAGGGCGCAGCTGATCAATGAGTCTCTCTCATCATTGATGTTTCTATCTCTCCCTCTCCATTCCTTTCTGAAATGAATAAAAATATATATTTTTAAAAAAACCTAAATACAGTAGAGTTAGGAATCCCATCCTACTACTGCAGGTAATATGCATGGTTTCCATTAACTGAGAAGCCTTGAAGGTTGAGGAGCTCAGCATGGATTGTGCCAGGCGCTGCACTTTTCAGCAAGTCTAAGGACACTGTATACTTCTTCATCAACCAAAATGCAGATTTGTTTCCTGGTGAATACCCTTATAATTCCCAAACCTCCAACAGGGTTTCAGCTTCTCTAAGCCAGCACAATGGCAGAAATTCTGAAGAATGTGAGCTCCGTAAACTTTTAAAAAGCCCATAAAAGTTCTAGATTCTTTCACTAGAATATTTACAAACCATCAGGGACTTAATAGAAGCCAAGCAACATCTTCACAGCTGAAGGCTCTTGGAAGCTGGGACAGTAACAGCTCTGTTGATGCTTTCATTTGCTTTGTCCTAAAACAGGTATATGCCCAAGGAAGTGGCAGTGAATGACAAAAGCAAACAAATATAGGTACCTTCTTATACAAAATCGTTTCTTTCTCCTTCTATTTCTCTCTAGCTCGACATATCTCTTCAATATTGAATAAACTTTTGGTTTAAGAATAGATTTTACTATTTTGAAGATTCACCCTCTCAAAACAAAATTCAAAGAGTACTAGAATCAAATTCTGCAGAATGAGTTTCCCTTCGTTAACCAAGGGATCCATTAGAACAAGAACAGTAAGCTTTTTCTGTAAAGACCCAGACAGCCCGTTCTGGACTTGGTGGGCTGTAAGGTCTCAGTCCCACCTACTCAACTCTGCTATTCATCCTATGGAGACAGCCATAGACAATAAGCAAATGAATGGATGTGGCTATGTTCCAATGAAACTTTACTTATGGACACTGACATCTGAATTTCATATTTTTCATGTCATAAAATCATCATCTTTTGAGTTTTTGCTTCAACCATTCAACAATGTAAAAACCATTCTTAGCCCTAACTGGTTTGGCTCAGTGGACAGAGCGTCAGCCTGTGGACTGAAAGGTCCCAGGTTCGATTATGGTCAAGGGCATGTACCTTGGTTGCGGGCACACCCCAGTAGGGGGTGTGCAGGAGGCAGCTGAATCGATGTTTCTCTCTCATCGATATTTCTAACTCTCTATCCCTCTCCCTTCCTCTCTGTAAAATATCAATAAAATATATTTTTTAAAAAACATTCTTAGTTAGCCTGCAGGAAGGATTTGGCCCACAGGATGTAGTTTGCATTAAAATAGCTAAGGTGCCACAATCAGGAGAAAGACTTCCTGCTATAGGGGAGTCTCTCTAGGTCTCCAGGGGGATGAGGGGTGGGGGTGGGGGGGGACTTTGACTTGTAGGTTACTGCTGACTTTACAAGCAGAGTTTCCTATAGGAATTGCCAGCAAGGGTGCTGTCACTGCAGCCCTAATGTTCATCCAGGTAAGCATCAAGTGTGGGCAATCTGCAACAGAATCACCTGCATACTTCTTAAATGTGTATTACTGTGACTCTGATGCAGTGAACTTGGATCTCACTGATTTCTGTCTGAGGCTCAGTTTCAAACCCCACTTGAGATACAGGCAGTCTGTAAGCACTGTCACCCGCAGAACCCTTACACACTCACAGGGGAGATGAGAAATGGCAGCCTGGCATGCCTGAAAAGAAGGTGCAGAGCACTTTAAGGCTCCATTGTGTAGGAGACAAGCTGAAGTCCATGGAAACAAAAAAGAAAACCAAAAGAAATGATATGATGTCTGGGATGTCCTTCAAACTAATTCACTGTGGGGAGCTGGGTAGAGATGAAACAAGATTGGGCCATGACTCAGTTGTTTAAGCTGTGTGATGGATAAAAGGAGGCTGGCTCAGTACAGTAGTTTCTCTATTTTTATAAATTTCAAATTGTCCATACACACACACACACACACAAAAGAAGGGGAAAATAGAAAAGAAACCTTAGAGAAAAATAAAAATGCTCTTAACTTCAGGGAGAGGGTTTTATGCCTATAATGTAGTTACTTTAACAGTACTTCACACAAACATCCATGTATTTGTTTTCAGGTAACTACAAACAATTTTTTTTACCTAGGAAAGAAAAAAGTGGTATTGTTACGTTGACTCAGTCTGTGTTGATTGAGGCTAACCTACCTCCCCAGCCTGTCCTTTTTTTTTTTTTTTTTAAACCTAACTGCCAGTAGGTGCCAACCAGCCTCTTTTCCATCTTGCCCTAGGCTCAATTATGTCCCTGTTATTATGAGAAAAAATCACCTGTCATCAAGTGTGGACATCAGCCTGGGTTGCCATCTTATGCCCTTACCTAAATATCAGAGATAAGGGAGGTGATGTCCTGTCTGCACTCTTTCAGGAAAGTGTAAATGGAGTGCTAAACTCAGGACAGACAGCAACAGGACCTGCAGAAAGACAGCCTCTGGCCTCCCCAGTGGCCATAAAGCACAACTCTCCATCCACAGACTAAGTCACAACACAATAGAAAATTGGTCATTTAAACCCCTCATCTTTGAATGACTCAGTTCAATCTTCAGGACAGCCCAATGCATTCATTTTGGGGGCATATATTTACTGAGCAGTGTGCAGGAGCTAAATCCAGGATAGGGCAAAAGTAGGTTTACAGTTGTGAGCATGCCAAACGGAGTTTATTCTTGCATAATTATTTATTAATTATTATTTTCCATAGGAACAACTGTAAATGTACTTTTGCCCCATCCCTGTATATGTCAGTCAGCCATGCCAGTGTCCTCTGGGAATTTACACTCTAATGAAAGCCAACATATAATACATGCTTTCACATGGTGATAGGTAGAGTGTCTGGAGAAGAAAAGGGTGGCCTACTTTGATATTGTATAACAAGCTGAAGAGAAGTTAGGGATAGCATCCCAAAGGAAATGTTATTTTCCAAAAACACTGTTGACACCCACAAGGACACCATATAGGTTTGTTTTTTTTAATTTCCAAGAAATTAAGGCACTTAATGTTTTCATTTTTAAAGGCTCCCAATATGTTCAGGGACTAATACAGAAACCCTAATTAGTTAACTTACACCAATTAAGTTCATCTAAATATAATTTTGTGAACTCTAGAATTTCACAAATCACCTGAAAAGAAAGGTATTATCTTCTGAGTTCAGTCACTTGAAATAAGTCAAATGTATTATCAATCTTTTTCCACCAAAATCAACTGTACAATCAACTAATGTTACAAATTAGAAGAAAACAAGTATGAGGACGAAGATGAAAAGCAGGCTGACCTCTGAAAGATAACTGAAATCTTATCCTAAAATGTGCCTACTTATTAATTGGAAGAGGGAATGATGTATCAGCTAAACCTCAAATAATCTCACTTCCATATAAATCAATAATTCCAACCTTTCCCACAGCTATAACCATTGGGCAGTCTTGCCATGAAGAAACTGGCCAAAATAAAGGACAAGAGGAAAAAAAGATCAAGACCTTAGGTTAGCAATTTTAAATCTGGGGGCTTGAGAATCCAAGAGAAGCTGTGGATACTTTCCCTAGAAAGTGGGCATATATACTATTTTGCATACAATTTCAGGGGAACTATGACCCCCTGAAGCCCATTAAAGTACTGGATTAAAAACCCCTGACCTAGATAAATATCAAATTAGGAAATCAGGTCTCAGACTACCAGCAGTTGAAAGGGCTGTAAGAAGCATACAGTAATTTTCAATACATTATCTAATTAAATTGCAACCCCTACAACAACCTTGGGAAGTAGGTACAATGGGGCCTTGACTTGCGAGTTTAATTCCTTCGGAGACCGAGCTTGTTAGGGAGCTCGTTAAGGAGCTCTTTAACTCAAATTACTCTGTCAACTCAATGCAAAAAATCGGCGGAGACACTCGTAAGTCAAGGCCCCACTGTATTTATCTCCTTTTACAAAGAGGGATAGCTAGAATCTGAGAGGTGAAAGAACTAATTCAAGGTTAAGCATCCTCCTCTCACACCCAGATTTCTAATTCTTAGGTCCTCAATCATGAACTAGAGGAGAATTCAAGAACTCCACTCCATATTTCAGGACATCTTCCAAGATGGAGAGTCTCTGACTTTTAGTACAGTCAAACCTCGGTTCTTGAACGTCTCCCATCTGGAATAATTCAGTTCTTGACCAAGTTGTTCACAGAAAAAAAAAAAAAAAAGGTCTCGGTTGTCAACCAAATCTTCAGTTTTCAACCTGACAACCTTTTCACCCTGATATCTCAGTAAGACAAAAAAGCTTCTCTCAGGTAACAAAGGAAAGAATGCTTTTGCTGCTTGTTAAATTGAGGATTAGCACAATTTTAAAACATAAGGAAGCCATCAAGAGTGCTAATGTTGTAAGGGTGTGAAAGTGCTCACAAAACAGCAATCACAGGCAATTGAATAAGTAGAAAAACTGGTGTTGATTGGATAAAGGAAAAGCAGTTAGCCAGTGATAGCATTTCAGAGGCAGTGATATATGAAAATTCCCTTAAGGCTAGTAGGGGGTGGTTCGCTAAATTTAAGAAGTGTTTATTTATAAATTAAACAGCGCATTAGACAGGTATTGTATATAAGAAAGATTAAAGCAACAGGAATCATTTGGGGGTCTGGAGTGGGTTTAATTCAATTTACATTATTTCTAATGGGGAAAAATTATTCAGTTTTCAAACAAATCGCTTCTTTAACAGCCTTCCATTAAGTTCCAGAAACGAGGTTCCACTATACTTCATACAATCAAGTTATCTACACATTTCTTCTCAATTTAACCTCATTGACGAGGAGTTTCGTATGGATGTAATTGCAAAACACCTTTTCTTGGTAGGAAATAATGTAACCAAAGACAAAGGATAATTGTCTAATAATTTTTAAATGTATTTTCATTTCTTAAGCAGCCTGATATAAGCTTTGTTAAAAAAAAAAAAACACACAACAACAACAAAGGCCCACTGGATGAGTCCTGAACCTTCTGATGATTGGATTTTTAAACTGTCCCAGATGAATCAAGATCTGACTGAATTAAAAACTTCAGTCTCTACTCCAAACAGGCAGGCAGAGTTTCAGATGAGCTAGCCACTTCAGCATCCCCTGAATGGTTAGAGCGGTTTAAAAAAATGGCACCCCTAACAGTCCCGAATAATTTGATTGGTGAGAATCACATACAACCAAATCTATTACTCCTCTGCACATCAAGATGGTAGAGGTCTTAGATCTTCATGGTCAAACCTGATAATGAAGATGTCCCAGCAGAAAATAACAAACACAACAGAAACTGCGTCCAGGTTACTAAATTAAGTGCATCTCAGTCCAGACCCAGTTGCCCAGTGAAACATTTACACACGTACTCATCCTCTATAGAGAAATTACCAATAATTAGCATGCTGTTTTCACATAGATTTAGAAACCCTTTATGGGAAATGTATCCACACCCAGAGAATGAAAACTAAGAACAAGTGTAGGTCAGGTCCTCTAAAGCTCCACTCCAACTGCTTCCTATGAGAGTTGCCACCTAGTGATTTTAATTTTTTAAGCCCAGGCAAGCTGCCAATTCAACACTAAAACCGGACTAACAACTGACTTTTCCTATTGCAACATCACCAGCAAGTCCTGTGCTTTCCCCCTCTTTTTCCTTTGCTTGCAAACAGCAATTCTCCTTTTCAAAATCAACTAATTTGCTCTATAATCTGTTCCAATAGGAAGTTCTCAGAGAGCTGCCCATGGAATCACTCTTCCTCCTAGTGCCAAGAGGCCAACAAGTGGCCAATTCAAAAAACCAAAACAGTGGATGTGAAGAAAAGATCGGCACTAAACACAATAAATGTGAAGACAGTAACAACGGGCCAACTCTGGACTTTAATATGTTCCACTTGCCAAAGTTCTACCTATTCTTGTGCCCTGGGCAGTAACTATACCAAAATAAATGGCTACATGTGAGAAATAACATTGCACAGGGGAATATAAACTCAATATTCTGGATTACCAGATTCCACTCAAGGCCTTGTCCATAGTACCACTGAAAAAAAATAACTCGACCTGAACCAAAGGTGGACTGGCCTCAGAAGTTCTTTCTGACCAGTGTGCCCAGGCCTGGCACAGGCATTAACTAAATAGCAAATGTGACTATTTAACAAAACAAAACAAAAACACAAAGGAAATCTGAAGGAAGTCTGACAGTTTAGATGGCTGACCTGACTTTCATTGGGAGGCACACCTTTAGCTACAGATACTTCCCTACAGTATTCTCCTACCAAACAGTTTTATTAAAAACTGACCAATAATTAGACTGTTTTCACCTTTAGGGCACTATATACACTTGTTTCACGATATGCTTCCACCCCTCACCACGCCCCCCCCCCCAACACACACCTTGGCAGCTCACAAAAAAATCTGACCAACCGCTCCTCAGGTGTGATGATCCTGTTGAACTTTGTAACTCAAATTCCATAAAAATAAGGCTGCACGGGTAGCGCACATCTTTCTTAAAGTTCAAAATTCATTTGGATTGCCAGCAGAAATTTGCAGGTGGCCAGTTTCCTTTCCAGAGCCCCCGAACGCCTGTGCGGAGACGCTTTCGGAAGCGGAGAACTCCTTCCTCCCCTGGTCGGCCTCCGTCCAGGTCAGACCCGAACTCCCGCAGGTGCCAGCGCTCACCACTGAGCCGCCGCCCCGCGCCAGGCCTCCCGGAGGCTCCAGGATGCGCCCATCACGGGAAGCCCCTCGGAGACCAGGTTTCCAGACGCTCCGCGCGTCCTCCCGCTGCCTCCTCCTCGGGCAGC